AACATCATTTTCAATGTAATGAGGCGTCAGCAGCTGACAGCAGAAATCCATCACGATCGAGAGTGACTGGTTACACCAGTAACGAGTATAATCATCTTTGTGCTCGTCAATCCCAATCATATCTGTGTTTCGGTGTTAAATAATTATCCATAGAACAATTGGTACATGTACAGAAAGAGAAAGTCTAACAGTTATGTGACAACTCAACTCAAAGTAAATGAAGTGAAATATGGGAATGTGAGGTAAGGTGAAATGGGCTTTAACTTCGCACTCAAGATTATTGCACTTAAACCGTGCATGTCGTGTGTGTGTGTGTGTGTGTGCGTGTGTGCGTGTTTATGTGCGCGTGTGTGTGTCCGGATTAATGTCGAATTTATAATGCTCACCCAATGAGATGCACCAGGTAGGGTAACAACAATCACCATCTTCTAACGTATTTGGGTATAACGCGGCCAGGGATCGAACCCATGACCTTCCGCTTTCCGGGCAGACGCTCAATCCACCAGACCACGGAGCGAACTGTATGTTCACTAGCAATCACATATCATATATCCACCAGGCTTGTGCCATTATTTGCCATTTGTCCAATGCTTCCATCTGCTCCTATCCTGCCATTACATATTCTTAATCCAGTTTATTTAAAGAAATCTAATACGGAACGTCCTCAAACATTTATGACACTGTCTTGTGAAACCCTAAACCGGGTTCCCGTAACAACCGTTGCTAAAGGTATATAGGGATAATTCTTCATCAACTTTGAATTTAACCAAATTAACCTTGACGTTAATATATTCCCTAAATACTTACAGTATGAATTAACTGTAATTTCTTTTTCGTTATAAACAATTTCACAATGTTTTTTAAATGTCATCTTTCAACCCCTTGTGTCATCATATGATCCAGTTTTTTTTGTAAATCTACCACAGTGTCTGCAAGTAAAACAACATCATCTGCAGATAATAGAAGATCAAGTACTTCAATAATTTCCCAACAAAGCTTTCTATGAATTTCACTAGCCTCTGCTTTCTGTGTTTAACTGATTTATGAAGAGGATAACCAGTAACAGGCATACCGTACACCCCTGTCGAACGCCACTAGAAGTTGTGAACATTTCTGTTCTTAAATGTTCTATTTTCACACTTGCACAAACATTTTCATACATGTTTTGAATTAAATTAACCATTTGTCCATTGAGGCTTTTGTATGACTATTCCAGAGTTTCTTTCTATCAACATAGTCAAAAGCCTTTTTGTGAAATTTAAAGACAGCATAAAAACAATGTTGAGCTTTTCGTATGTTTTTATGGCTGAGGGCATGTAGCACACACAAAAATATTGTCTCTTGTTGTGTGATCTTTTAAGCATCTTTTCTAAAGCCTACTTCCGATTCTGATATCATCCCGTTTCGTTCAGTCCATTGTCTTAATCTTTATTCAACAATATATATGAATATTTCCCCCTAACACCAACAATGTGGGATCGCCAGATATGTACAATTAAACAAATAAACCATACATCTGAAAAATGTCAGTAATCAAGATAGTATTATATAATATGTTTAGATATGGAATAAAGTCTACTGATTGCGTCATATTCCATATGTTTTTCCAGATTCAAGATTTGTGAGAAGTTTTTTTATTTCATCGTCTGTTATCTATACTGATAGCATACCAGTACAATTACTGATACTAATGTTACTAACATCATATCTAAATTGATATCTTAACTAGCAGTAGATTGAATGATGGCCACTCTCTGTTTCATTGGCACAAACATATCTATAACTCATCGAAAAATATTTAATTGAACCAATACATGAATATAATATGGTAAAATTCAAAATGTAGCTGATGTCTGTTTCTTAAGGTGATATTGTGCATCCACTACCTTTGGGAATGATCCAGAATGACGGGAAAACGGGACAGCTTACATGATATCGTTGTGCACTGTCCACAACAAACTGGGCTAAAAGAAAAGATTTCCTTCCCAAAAGAGTTATCAGCGTTCTTGAAAAAAATATTGTTTCTTGTTGAGTGATCGTTGAGCATCTATTCTGAAGCCTGCTTGCTTAGTTATGTCCATTTTCTTAACATTTATCCAACAATAGATTTGAATATTTCCCCCTAACACTTAAAAGAGATATACCCCCATAATTATTCGTAAATGTGTGGTCGCCAGATTTGTACTGTTATACCAATAATCCACACTTCTGGAAAAATGTCAGTTATTAATGAACTCTTTCACCAGTGGTGTCTTTCAAATAGTTGCCCCATTTGTGGTCAAACTTTCAGGTTAACCAAAACAGTGGCTGCGTCGTTAAGGTGAGCCAGATGGACATGGGTCTTTAGAGGCAGGCATCCTTTGACGAACGGGGTTATAATGATTTAAAGCTTCAGTATCAAAAAAGTGAAATAAGAGCAGTGTTTCGCTTTCAATGTTAATAAGTTCCTCTTCACCTTGGAATACTGACAACAAGAAGAGTTTAAAAGATGGATTATATATATGGATCCCGTAGCAAAAGGTGCTTTAATTGATGGAATCAAAAGTTATCAATTTTGTTTTTATTATATTGTCGGTTAAGCTAATTATAATAGTAAGAAGCGCAGAGATTCCCTCCATTTACAGATTCGATACATCTAGACCTGTCACAGTTTTGTAGACCAGATTGTGGTTTCCTGAAGTGTATAGAGCAAAGTCTCTAACAGACGCGAGAGCATATATGTAATAAAACATTCAATCTCATTTCATTCCATTCTCCCTTCTTAGCCTTACCAGCTAAAACATATCCCGTTTTCAGCAAGGAAATTATGGGTTCCGTAATGCCGGAATATGCGTGTTTGTGGGCGGGTGGGATTTAGGAGCGAATCGATGACACTCTTGAGGAATCCAAATGCCTCGTCATCTCATCAACTCATACTTATTATAACTGTTCAAACCAGTTAAAAGAGTCTGCAGTTCTTTTGAAGTTTAATACATTGGCAACATCAATTGAGGCGATAGAGTAGCATTATCCTTACTATTTAAACTGTAACACATGTGAAATAAACATTGTCTACGTTCTACTATATATTAAACAGTAAGCGTTAGCATTACTAAATACATCTGCAATAAACTGTGTTTCTGAATTCATCATGATATAGATTTTACCATCCATCCCATATTTACACGGGTGCTAAATAATTGTTTTGTGTTAGGATATTCAGCGGTTTAAATTGCTGTTCTTGATATTGCTGTTTCAAATTTGAAACAACGTACAATATACAGATCACATGAATGGATGACTTTAGAAAGGCAGGATGTGTTGATGTTTATCCTGTATGACATACATAGAACTTTGTGTGGTGCATCCAGTATCTAAAATGTTAAGGAAACATTTTATGATTAAATTAGACAGAATACAGCGTAGTACTCTGTTGCATTATCGTGACAATATAGCTTAGTTGTACATTCAACATCGTCCTCCATGTTTAGACCGGCTTCCGCATTGGTTTGAAATCCAAATAAAAGACATCTTCAGTCTGAAGTGTTGTGAAAAAAGTAACTGTTTACACCAACATTACATCGTGGACTTCATAATAATATTGCACAGATCACTGTATAAGGTTTTCAGGTAAGTGTCGTGTGCAAATCGGAAAGGTGAATCCCGATCGCAAGTCAGTGTACATGAGAATTAGAGAGGAGAAGAAATCATACATATAGGAAATTTCCTTTAATATAAGTTCTCTATTAAAGCATACGTTAATATAAATTACAGATATTCTATTATGTAAAGGATCACCTACTAAATACAAACACACATAGTTTCATCAATTGTAAGCAATATTAGAGACCAATATTGATATATGGCATCTGTAAATATGTATCAGTGACTTCTCGTACAGATATAAGTCATGGTAGCCAGTAAGTTATTTAGTTGCAATTAGATGTTTGTTAGCGAAATTGCACATTGTATTTGACTGTGAAAGTTATATCCATTTAGTATATGTTTGGCTATTTCTTAGCATTGCCCTTTGCAATTGATTTGGACTAAATGTTCAGCACATTACGCTATTTATGAGACATTTATGACAAATCGGGTGACAGCATGTGCAGTTGCGATGTGTCAGAACAAGTACTTGTTGTAAACAATCCGCGAAGTCATGCCTGCTTTAAACGGCAAGTGTGAGGAAGGAAGTTAACAATCCGCATGCACATATCTAGCTTGTTTATGGCATGCCGCGTTCGTGACCAATTTATGGTTTCATATTATTTTAGGATGTATTTATTAAGGAACTAACTTGTATTGCTAATATTAAAGTATCAGGTTATATCTAGATGTTATTTTGCGTAAGCGTGAAACAATAAAGAATGACGAGAATTGAAGGCTGATATGTTTGGATATGACAGTCATATTAACATGCACATTTTAATACTTACACTGTTTAGAACAATATTTTGTTCCATCAGGGCGTGTCAAAAGTGTATCAGGTAATACAAATTTGTTACATTGTAAAGTTTGTACAGACACTCTTAGATACGGCGCTCCATCTTACCTATCATATCGTCTTAGCAGGAGTGAAGGAGGTTTCGTCCATGTCTGATGGATAACACGAGACCATTCACTCAGATTCCTGGTCACATAAATTATTTTTTTCCAGAGTTACTTTCCTTACTTCATGTTTTTTTTTATTTTGAGCATACACAGTTATGGCCCTTGATCCATGATATTTTTCAAAGTGAATAGTGTCTGCACGTGGGACTAGATTTATCAAAAACTACTGAAATTAGCTTATTTAAGAGATTGTATTGAGAGAAGATTTTGTATTGAGACTCAGATTTCTTTTTCAGCTGCAAAACCATATATGAGCCTTGGAAATCCAATCCAAACTTTCCTCAATATTAGGCTGACACGCCATAATATCACTTGAATATTGTTAAAGGCAGTGTTAAACACAACTTACTCACTCACTTACTTACACATGACTGGGGATAGCGATAACACTTCTTGTATCTATACTTCAGGATGTGGTGAAGGCTACACAAACTCATCTGGCTCTATCTCCTCACCAAACTACCCTGGCAATTACGGCAACTATTTGAACTGCGTCTACACCATTGATGCAGGCGAGACATTGGTCACACTCGTGTTTACAAATTTCAGTACACAGGAAGGGAATGATGTCGTCAAGGTATGCAAACATTGTAGCTGGGCAGGTATTTTTGCTTATGTTTATAATTGCCATGTCCCCAAAAAATATTATTTCAACAGTTATAATATATATAAACTATAGGATTTGACATAAATGTTCTTTCATAGAATGTTTGTCTTTAAAACCTTTGTTTTGATATTAGGTATTACTAATATTTAGTTTAAGTATTCTATTTGAATTATGATGACTATAGTAATGACACATGTGAGGGTCCTGCTTGTTATCGCTGTAAGGAAGTGTGTTTTTTCAATCCGAAGGTGCTTGCAGTTAATAGGTTGGCAAATAGGGATTTAGGCAAAAGGGATTAAACCCTCCATATATTAATTGCAGGTTTACGATGCCTCCAGCAACCTCCTTGCCTCATTAAGTGGAGACAGACATGGCTACATTGTCCAATCAGCTGTCTTCTACCGTGTTGTGTTTACTACGGATCCCTGGAATGTTAGGAAGGGATTTAGGGCTGTATGGACAGGTATGTGGATGTGTACTTCTATGATATTTTGTTTACTTTGTAATTTGTCTCCATTGATTTCTTTTCTTTATCACCTTGCAGTTGACAACATGCTTGTTGTCGTGGTCGTGGCTGTAGGCATGTTCTGTGAAGATATGCTGTATATTGTGTTTGTTTCCTATCTTATGTAGCCTGCTGACAAGGGACACCTTGATTTCAGTTGATCGTCAGCATGCTCACTTTATGGACGTCTCTTTTTAGAACAAGCTTTTGTCAGACAGGACTGATGTTAGTCTCTCTGTGAAGAAATGTGTCAGTGAGATGAAATGTAAGTTGATGGTGGTTGTTAACCTGCTAGCGTCTAACAGGCAGCTTAGATTACATACTCTCCAGGGAGCTGAGAATGATTGTTGAGTGCACACTGATTGAGTGACTTGGGTAAAAATAGTGGTTTAAGCATGACCCTGTGTGGTTTAGAAATATGCACAATATAAACTGCCTATTGTTATTATTAGTCGTAAATAAATCCAAAAGGGCTCATGAATTCACAGTAGAAGACATTATAGATAACACACACAGAACACAACCTTGTACACAATCAGTGTCATGTTGTGTGACATAAGAAACGACTTTGATAGGGTATGGCATAATGGTATTATCCATAAACAATGCCCACCACATACGGGGTGCTTTCTCAAATTAATTTGAAAGTTACGTAAACACTAAAGCTCAGAGTGTTGGTTTAGTGTTATACCTCAGAATTAACGTCGGTACAAGCTCCTGTACCTCAAGGATCTGCGCTAGGACCACTGCTGCTTATCGTTTATATGAATGATGTTGTTGAAGGAATATATAGCAACATACACCTTTTTACTGATGATTGATCAATATATGCTATTACAGAGGATCTGACCCGTGAAGAATGCTTGCCGTAGAAGGTGACTTTGCTTGTCGTAAAAGGCGACTAAAGTGATCGGGTGGTCAGGCTCGCTGACTTGGTTGATGCATGTCATCGATCCCCATTGCGTGGATCAATGCTCATGATATTAATCACTGGAATGTCTGTTCCAGACTCGATTATTTACAGACCGCCGTCATATAGCTGGAATATTGCTAAATGCGGTGTTAAACAATAAACCAACCAAACCAACAGAGGATCCATTCACGGCAGTCAAATGTAATAATAACGATTTGGTTAGAAATTCAAACTGGGCCAACAAATGGAAAGTAGGCAACAGACAAAAGCTATAACATCACCCGTAAAGTCTATCACAGTATAAGGCCGAAAGTTCATAAGTACTCCCACAAATATCATAATTTTATATATTGCTGTTTCCTGCTCAGAAGAAAAGCACATCTCTCACACCTTTTCTTAAGTATTGTTTTACACGATCAGGGCTACCAATGAAAACCAGCAGAGACAACAAATTTTGGAATATGTACACATCTTATTTAGTGATAGCCACACAAACTACAAATTACAATGATTTAAACCTGCCACATTTTCAACGGAGACCACAACAAACCGAATGCATGCACTCTCGGTGTGTTGCGATCTGTTCGATTAACTGTGTCTTTTCCATTGAAAACATGATAAGTAATAATAATAATTAGGGACAAACTCCATATCAAGGAACAACTTCGGGCAGTGTACAAATGTAGACTTAAGAAAATCTGGGGTTCAGAGCTGAAAGCTCGCTATAAAGTTAAGGCACAAATACTTATGCTGTACCCGTCCTTTCATATTTTTTTGACGTTGTTGACTGGACGAAACAAGAACTTCAGGGTATTGACACCCTCACACGAAAAATTATGTCAGACAATAGATCCCACCACCCGCGCTCTTCCCTCAATCGCTTATATTTACCAATTATAATGGGAGGGCTAGGTTGGATTAACCTTGGGTCTCTTCATGATAAAATTGTTTTGTGCACTTTTGCACACAATTATTTTTCTGATGATCCTCTTGTGACTCATGATGAAAACAAGGCATTCCACACTTTACTTAAACGAGCCAAGTGTGTGGGACATAATCTCAATGTCGGTGTTGATTTTGTTGATGGTTGTGTACTGCTGGACGGTACAGAAATGAATGACTACCATGCGAAGTGCCATATCAAGCCAGCCCAAAGTCAGTTTTTCAAGGAGAGGCTTTCTGAAGACCACTGCATCTAGTTAATGTGCAGTGTGATGAGAAGTTCAGGAACTCTGCAGTGTCCTTCACTTGGATGACGTCGGCTGGCCTGAAAAGTGAAACAGGAGGATTTTTGTTTGCTGCTTAGGACCAGTCACTTCCCACTCGAAACAGTCAATGTATGATTTTGCATCAACATATACATATGAAATGTTGATTATGTAATGGATTTAATGAGGCTGACCAACACATTGTCAGTGGATGCCCAGCTTTGGCACAACGCAGAAGTCCATCCATAGTACGACCCAGAATATGTAGAGGGCGTGATGGAAAATGATCAATACAAAATTCTTTGGAATAGGCCCGTTTACAGCCTCAGACGTATCCAGGCCAACGCACCTGATCTTGTCCTTTTTGATAAATCCAATGAAATAAATTATATCAATGAATTTTGATTGACAAGATTGAGGAAAAGCATGGCGGACCTCGCTTTCACACTTGCATCCCAATTACCAACTTTTCCGACTCCCCATCGTTCTCGGTGTCTTAGGTTTGGTACCTCCCAATCTGTTGACTGACACTAGGAGATACCGGGGTTTGAATACAGCCCTTCTGACAATCTGGCTACAGTGTTGGAGAGTCTTCACATTCTCCGAAAAGTTCTTGGTGGGTTTGACTGGGTAGCGCTTCCTAGGAGAAGTCCCATTCGCTGTCTGGACTGCATGTAGAGGGGATAAGGGTCCTGAGCTGATGATGAACCTCACCAGCCTGACTGTGCTAGGAACACCCAAACCCTCTTTGCTGCTTTTTTTATTTTAATCAGTACAGTATAATAATAATAAAAATAATAATACATATGTAGACTTAAGAAAATCTGGGGTTCAGAGCTGAAAGCTCGCAATAAAATTAAGGTACAAATACTTCTGCTCTACCCGTCCTTTCGTATTCTTTTGGTGTTGTTGATAGGACGAAACAAGAAATTCAGGGTCCTGACAACCTCACACGAAGAATCATGTCAGACATTAAATTCCACCACCCTCGCTCTTCCCTTACTATTTACCAATCATAATGAGAGGCGTGGTTTGATTAACGTTTGGGCTCTTCGTGATAGAATTGTTTTGTAGGCCATCGGCCCATGTACACAGTTGATACAACAATAACATATATATATATATAACTTATTTCTCAACAAGACATATGCCTCGCAATCAAATATGAAATGGAGTTCATCTTCAATGCTATTAGTATTACATATCCTACAAATTCGGTTAACAGTTATAGCTTCTTTATATTTGATGTTACAATGCTACGGCAGTTCATGCAATCTCAACAAACATATATATCTTTTTAATTCCCTAACATTTATGTTTGTAACATATTATTCAACAGTCAGCAATGACTTAATATTCTTATAATGTGCAAGTTGTTTTGAATCATTGATATTACTCAAAATATCTTATTTTCCACAATCTTCTAATCTCTAAATTGTTTGATAGGCATTACTTAGAAGTTGACGGAAGACAAGATAGACACAATTTGTATGGATAACAACTTCTTTAATACTGTGAAAAGCGACGTTTCGGTATAGATCCTTATACTTGTGTCTATCTTGTCTTCTAATCTCTGTCTGAATATCGACAGAAAATACGAAATATCACCAATATCTTGACTAACCCATCCATATTCGAAATCATACGTGTATAACAACAATCTTACACAGGATGCCCATGTATTTCATCCTGCTGTATCTAACTTCTTCATAAGTAGGAGGCATTGTCTTGGATAACGATCATCTGACACTCTTAACAATTTACACCAGTACTTATCAGTTGGCTAACGCTGCACTACTTGGTACATGTTTACCAACGACCAATACATATTTACAAAAAATATTATGAAAACGTTCAATAGCAGCTCTTTCTTGGAAGCCCCATACCTCCACCCCATATAACAAAATAGATTTTATTTTACAATCAAACAATTTAAATAACATATTTGGGTATATTTGGGTATGTATTTATGCTGTAATTGCTTAATAACAAACAGAGCTTTACTGGCTTTTGAAACAAGAATATTTGTACACACTGTCCATGACAACCTAGTAGAAAACATTATCCCTAGATAATTATATACGTTGATGTCTTTAGGAGCTCTCAATCAAAATACCACTTCTAATTATGTCGTAAATAACCACCATTATGGAAAACTAATATTTCAGTTTTATCCATGTTTATCTGTAGACCCATGCTTTACAATATTTACATAAGATGTCAAGCTTTCTTTGCAAACCAATAACACTGTCATCAAAAATGCATAAATCACCAGCATACAATAATAACATTAGTTCCAAATATTCTACCCCAATGAATATACCTCTTACATCTGCATCTTCCATCATGGCTTGAAATTCTGAAATAAACATTGCAAATAAAAACGGGCTGATAACACAACCTTGTCTGGCTCCACTTAAACGATCAAAATAATCAATAATATTAGCGTCAGATACTCTTACAGCTGCTTTTATATTTGCATACATATTTCTCAGTGCACTTTACCATGAACACCTTTATCCATTATTGAATACCACAGTAATTTCCTATGAACAGAATCCTTTAGACTTTCTTGAAGTCTACATAAATGCAATAAAAATGTCCGCCACTTTTAGATAAATACTTTTTTACAAGACATTGCAAAGTGAAAATATTATCCGTTGAGCAATAGCCTTTCCTAAATCCTGCCCTGGGCCTCAGGTACACGGTTAAAGTGATCAGAAAAACGTTTCAGACGCGCATTTAGAATAGAGGAGAATAACTTCTCAAAAATATCCATCAAAGATATGCCTCCTTTTTTGTTAACACAGTCAAAGCGTCCTTTTTTTATGGAGTGG